ATATATATATAGACATTAGATATCCGTTTGTTCTAAAAGGGGGTAGGGATATATTTGATTCAGGTAATTTAGGTGAAGTGGTAGTCCTTGCCACTGAATAAGATTCGGTTGGTGCGTATCAGAGTCTGCAATAACTGACCCCAATCTCGAAGATTCTTGGATGTAATTCGCTTCTATTTCAAATTTAAAAGCACTAAACTGTAAAAAGTCAATAGTAGTTGCACAATAGAATAAATGTTGTGCGAAACGTATTTTAGTTATCCACTAGTATATCACAACATCGAAAAATCAATGTCAAGCGGTAAACCTTAGTTTTGTGGGACTGATTAGGGCTTATCAAGCCCTATTCAACTCCAGTTTATTCGTGTTCACTCAGCTTATTCGATAAGTGGCAATTGTAATCTTTGATTCTACGAAAAATCTCTGACTACATGATTTCTATATGATTCATTCCGTTCACTGATGCACTCTCTGGTGAGGTAACAACAAGAACCAAAGCTCGTGCTCGTTGCGCGTGCTTTCTTATTCTATCGTTCTTTCTATACGAGGAAATCTCCTCTCTCGACTCGCACGTAGGCGACATGGAGGCAAATCGCACAACAGGCCAAAAAAATCGACGACCAACACATACCTTTTAAATGGCCGCTCACATCTATCAGCTGCAGCCGGCAGCAAGTGAAAGCCTGCCTGTAGTCAGCAATATGAAGCCCAAGAATGGTAAAGTCACACGCACACAGATCTATTTTGTCGTTCATTCTCCCTGACAATGTCTTTATTTGTGCAATAGAAACCTGCGGCACCTGTGACTGGCCGCGTGTCTCATCCTAGCTGTGTTTATGCGTCAGTCTGACTAAGCGTGCGTCTGTAGCCCTTCCAGTTCAGTTGTGGTAGAATGGTATTAACCTGGGATTGGTATTTAAAGTTAAGACCCAGATTCTGCTTTCTTATGAAGAGCAAGCAAACATTAGCTTGCGCTATGCGGCTATATCAGGGCTGACTGGGTCTTCTTCACAAGATCTAATCTTTCTTCATTGAGAGTCTGTAACAGTTGACATGATGTCAGTAAATTTGTGTCAATGTACAGATTGCGCTATTGCCGTTGCCACTATTCCCGCTAGTCTTGCTACGGTGGTTAAGAGGAACGCTAATGCAATTGTGGTTGCCTTTTTCCTCGTCTTTTCGGTGATTTCCTATTATCCAGAATTGGCAAAAAGGCCAAAATAGGAAATCACCAGATAGGATTGTCTTTGGTGGATAGGCAAATTTCGGGCTTGCTTCTTCCCTTCCAATAGCGGAGCAGGTACAACATGACGCAATCCAGAATGATTCAACGACTAGAGATCATTGCACTTGGCCTCTATTCAGAAACAGGCAACAAGGTCGGCAAGCGTCGCGTTGCGGAAGACAACAAAAATGAATGGTTTAAGTGTAAATTGAGCGTAGCCTTATATATATGTATATATATATATATATATATATATATATACAAAAGAGTCGTTCATTATTGGGTTGAGAAACGGTCAACTCATCTGTCGGCCACTTCAACCTGTGATTCCCCTGTTGGATACTCAGGTCAATAGATATCCAAGCAAGGAACAATAATTAGAATACATAAATAGAAAATAAAATATATACTTACATATTGGGTGCGTATAGTGATTTGGGGGCAAGTACTTCTGATAACATCAAGCAAGTAAATAGTGGAATCTCAGAACTTGGTTATCATAAGCAACAGGATTGTGTATGATTGATTCTGCTGTATACGATACCCAAATTACAAGTTGTGTTGTGTGGTAAGTTACAATCTTAGTCAAAATTGGTAGATAAAAATTTAGGCCTGGCTTCAGACGAGATTACTGCAGAGAATGCCTTTTTTTCACAATAGATTTATCAAAGCAGTTTTTGTATAGGTTTTTTGGAAGTAGTATCACCGTAACCCACTTCTAACATGTAACAATTGAAACCCACACAAGACTATTCGTGACACCGCCCTAAGTACTCAATAGGATGTAGCTATTGTTAGCAAGCCGCCGGCCCCATTAAGTACAATGTTATTTCGCCACATAATATACATGTAAGCTGTACGATAAATGGCGGCAATCTATTCTATTATATACCTTGAATCCACTACCACACATAATGATACGACTCACATAGTCCTTATTTTGTTTCGGTCTAAAAGTTGCTATGCATGTATTTGATTTACCAGAAACGTGAACTGGAACAGCTATAGCAGATGAGAGCGAACGTTATACTTAGTTCGAGCGGTCGAGGACGTTCCGAAAGGTGATTTTTAAGTTTTAGAGTGCTGAATTCACGCACATTCAAGTATCTTTTGCCCCCGTTTCGTTCACGGCCAACAGTTGGGAGGCACCAGTTTTAATCTGAAGATACAAATGAGTGTCTCATAATCGTTGAGAACTCGTCCCATGCTGGCGAAGGTTCTTTAGGTATTCATGATAGACGAATAATTCGCTTGCCTGTTTGGCTGTTTGACCTGGTATAGTTCAGGATTCATGTAATTCTATAAGAGTCAACTCGTCACGAAAGTTTAATACGCTATTTACACAACATAATGGTTTTTCGCTTATTAATAGTATATTACGGGGCAACGAAAGTGCAAACCTATTGTGGTCATAAAGGTAAAAAAATCAATCTGCAAGAACCATTTAACAGGCTCTCAACTACGCCATATATAATATCATCGTGATATTACGAAAACGAGAAGTGTTCATAAACGATCGTAAAGCCAAGGTTTTCCTATATTGCCCAAGGTCTTATGGGTCCATCACGGGGCTAATTTGCTGAAATTTGTGTCTTCACTTAGCATGACTTGGACTTGACAACATTAATTCACCGACGGCGATGTAGCCATAGCCGAGAACAAGATCGATAAAATATTTCTCATAGGATTCTTGACCGTTGTTTCCAAAAACAGGCCCATATGCAGGCAATCGCCTCTTGTCGCGGTGAATTTTCGTGAGCTGCGTTTTTCGACCTACGCAGTGGCTCCATGGAACTAGACCTTTCGAGTATACCTTACGGGAAATACACCCACATTTATGGTCGAAACGCGATAGATCTGATCGAATATATTAATGCATAGTTGTGTGGGTCATGTTAAAGTGCTGAAATTGTCGTGACCTCCTATTGTTTGTGATGAAAATGAGCTTATGTTCTCCTCATAGAAGTTCTTTAATAAAGATCTTCTCGCCTCCTCAAAAAGTACTACAGAAATGTTTGTCAAAGAACAAATTCTAAAAAAAAATTATAAAATTAAGAAAACACTGGTATCATAACCGCGAGAGCTTTCATTCACATTTTAATAAATAATAAAAATAAACAATCATCTAGGTCTTTAATTGTTGTTGCATAGAATGGGTTACGATACAAATCACGTAGTAATTTGTATACGAAGCTAGCGACTAGTAAATTTGCAAACGTTAGTAGACCACAGCAAAATGGAAATGCAAAAAAAATTGAAAAATCTATAAAATTGTTTTCAATAGGATCAAAAGTATTGCATAATATATGGCAAAGCTATAAATCGAAAAATGGTATTTTAATATACGTTAAATGTACTCACCTTACTATGTAAACATCAACACTAGCGCTCTGTTAGCTCTTCAACAGTTGCTCTTTTGTGAACCTATTATTTGCCACCGAACATCGTTATTGAGGGCTTGTTGGCCGCTGCGCCACCTATCGCCTTCGTTTAAATCATGGAAGTAATCGAAATGATTGATAAACATGATCAAATACTTTTGTGATGGATAACGCTGATTAAGCCGTGTTTCGCCAACGAGGTCTTGTTGGTATTTACTACGCTGTCGTTATCTAGAGTCGAGCCTTATGGAATAGCGTAGAATATGGAGTGCCTTCCTTGAATAATTTGATTGCTATGAATACTGATAATGTAATCGGTATGCAGAAATATGTACGCCTAAAGGTGTATACTACTGTATACAAAACACGAACACTATACTATAGGTTATAGTCTATGCGAAACAAGTCCATATATCACAATAACATCACACAGGCAACTTACGTGATTCAATCAGCAAGGTTTACCTTAGGATAGCATTAATGGACGGGTATATAATAAGCCACTAGGGTTGTGCTAGACTCTTGTTTTTCCTCTGTAAACAAGGTAAAACTTCAATTAAATATTTGCAGTTTTCAATCGTGGAGGGATAGCTGTGGGTGAACTATCAAAAAGCGTTTTTTGTTACTTAGCTCGTGTCTTAAATGTAGATAAGCGATAAAACAAAGACGAACAGCGTTTGCGTACATACGTCTGTTTTTTTTTTGCAGGAAAATCGTACCTCTTCATTCCTCGAATAATGCCTTGACGAAATTCACTTCGCCTTAAAATATAAAAATCAAGTAAACTCTTTATTAATACTAGCCATTTGTGTTCCGACTCGCGTTTCTCACTAAACAGAAAGGGAGCGTTTGGCCGCCCAGCGTCCTCGAGGCGTCCAGCGCGCCTCAACGCGGAGGTTCCACTGTTACCGCGCAGCATCAGTCGAAACACCAACGTACAACGACATCATCCAGCTTCACGGTAGTACCAACAGCTCGAGCAACATCAGAAAGTACACCAGGCTCCACTATGTCATACCGCTACACTTCGAGCTCGTATAAATACAGCAGCACTGGAGAGGGTAAGTTGGGATCGTCGAATAGATACTAGTGAAGATTCACGATATCTTAAGGGCAAAATCGTTTGGGATATTTTCTTTTCCCATGAACGTTAACGCATTAAGTTAATCAGACTCTGCTGCTAAGGTATAATAGGAATCAGGTTCCATAATGTACTGCGGGGCCGTCTTTATCTAGCGTTTTAGTACATTCGTTGGCTGGTCAGTGGTTCCTGCTAAATCTTGCCAGGTCTTGCCCTAGATGCCATTATTCAGCCGCCTCGCACATGTACGCAAGCGAAGCGCGCATGGCAATGTACTCTGCATCATTTTCGACACCGCTGCTACAGCATTAGTATTAGCCTTAGCTATTCTGTACAAGGACGGGACCACATTGTATGTCAGTCCGCGTCTCTCGGTTTTCCCTTTAGTATTCTTTCTCACACTGTAGCCAGCGTTACATATCGTAAGTTTGTACTACTAGTAGAGTCTTTCAATAACTGTCATCATTTACCAATCTTTAGGTCCTAAGACATCGTTTCCGCTAGGATCAGGGCTACAAACGTACTAATCAATCCTGTACGCTTGGGTGATACGGAGCGCAAGGATATAGTGGGCTTTTGTCAGTTAATTTGTATTTAGATTTTAATACCTAGTAAAGTGGTGAATTAGTACAAATCTTCATTTCCTATTTCATTATCTTCATTTTCTCATTCATTGAATTAATACACCTTTAACGATATGGACTCTAAACAGTAACCAATGTTCGATTGATCACTTCTAGTAGGTATTCTTAAAACAGAACGTCTAGTTGTCTATTCAACTGAAATTCGTGTAAAGACGTAAATGACAAAAACGATTGGAAAAACTATGAAGATAAAGGAAGACATGCAGAAATGTAGATTGAGAGTTTCACTTAACAATGAATTTGATAATCAGCGATATTTTACATGGCTTGTCTCTTGTGAAAGATTGGTTTGTGAAGGACCATTGTTTTTAGTAGGTATAACAATGGCAGTTATGCTAGTAGCTACATATATATGCAAGGTATACGGATCATATTTATTAAATGCACACTTCCCATCCCTAACGTACCTTATTATTATATTCTTGTTGCCTATTATTGAAACAGAGGATTCGAGCTCCGTGCGGCGCTCATCGTTCCGTAGTAGAGCTAGCATCGACGATGAAAACCTCATGTCATCCGTGAGCCGTTCTACCCGGATAACTCGAACACTTATCAGTGGCTCTGATGAACCTGCGACTACCACCTCAAGTAAGTTTATAGACCAGTTATTCAATCTATCATTTTACGCTTTTCAGATCATTATAATATTCAAATATATAGAAATGACAACTAGGTGCAAAATAAATTATTGTAGTCGAAATAGAAAGACGAAAAACGCTTAAACTCTTCTAAAAAAAACTCTCCGATACACTCCGCAAAAATATTCGACATAAAATCATACGAAAATTCGAAATTAGATTTGGCTAGCTCTAAAGGACGCGCTTTTTTTTATGTACATTATGGTGCTATATATATAAGCACTACCGAAACACCGCAACAGACCGTTGCAATAAAGTGCTTCCGTTCGTTTTTGGCATATTATAATTTTCAAAAAATGTGATAAGAATTAGTATTTTAGCTATGACATGCTCGAAATATCCATAGGAAAATCTAGTCACGCCTCTTTCACATTTGACTCTTGGTAATAGCAGAAAATATCAAATCTCAAGAGCAAGAAAAAATTATACCACCAGTTATCTGTTGGATAATACTGCAAGAACGACAAGTGTATTTACTATATATTTTAATGCTCGTTGGTAACGCACTTGTACAGAGGACAAGATATACATGTGCGATATATACATAGTGTACATACATATGCAATAAATAAAGAAAGTCGGTAATCTACAAAAATTGATGTTTAGTGGGCTTTATATCCTAAAACTTCAATTAGGAAACTGAGTTAAGTGAGCATGAAATATGGTAGAGCCACACAGAAAAAGATCAAGTTCATCGAAATAGTTTCTGGAGACTGTACTATTCCAAGTCTTTACCTGGCCCAGATGCACATAGTTCTCGGAATATCGTTGGAAAATGCAAACGAAGCTTTTGGTCCAATAAGTTTACACTCCATTATTTGATTCCCTATTGAGTAAATGAAATTTTATGGACGAAACATCTAATTGACACGACCCGTGCGCCCTAATATTAGATGTTATATCAATTCTTGATTTTCAGCGATATCGACGACACGTCGTCGCTTGACGTCTGATGACGATGACTTTGGTCTATCACGCAGGTTTGTTAAATTCTAAGCCCGAATTATTCGCACGAAAACGATATGCACAATTTGTGCCAAAAATATCTAATTTTTTTAAAAAGATCAAACATTGGTCATAATTATTAAACTCATATTTGTTATTTGATGGATTTTTAACTTTTTACTTTTTATAATAAAA